ATTCTCTCGGATCTGACTCTCTATATATGGTGCCAACGACGACAAGGATGTGACATTTCTGTACAGGCGTCATCACTCGGGTACTCGTATCTCAAGCCACTTGGTGCTGCCACCAGGAATTCCTTTTTTGACCGGGACTCATTCCAGGGCCCGTATAATATATTCGTCTCCAAATACATAGTTGCTATCTACCGGTCCATCTGAATTTGGTAAGTAAACAATGCCAATCTTTTGGAGGGAGTAAGCCAAATCCCCCACTTTTTATGAAAAATTTTTGGAAACAAATGGAAAAATGATGAGAGGTAAAGAGGGTCCACTTGAGCTTCAAACCAGTGTGAGTTTTCTTTTCTACAATCAAGACCCACTGCCTAACACCTGCTCAACCTTTTTTCCAGTGAGTGATAGACTCTAGGCTTGTTGGCAGGTAGCGTATGAGAACTACCTCTAAATGACAAGTGCTGAGACTATGCAATGTGTGATAAACTCTAAGCCTGTTGGCAAGTAGCATATAAGAACTACTTCTAAATGACAGGTGCTGTCTTACTGTCTAGGTTTTTAGATCAAGTGCTGGCTTGTAAGGTCTTTTCTTGCAGAAAATCTTTTTTGGAAAATATGGTTCAAGTGATCATCAGAAAGAGTTCAAAAAAGATATTATGATAAGAGTTTTTTTATAAATTGCCACTATATTAATCAAATTATGCAACCAGTTAAAATATGCATTGACAGACTTGAAGTTTGAACTGCATCATTGGCAGATTGCTATATTAATATATTAAAACTGGCTGCAGCAACTTATCAACTTCTAGAAGTAAATCTATTTAAATTACAAATAACAAAAATTTATAATATTCAATATGAAGAGCTTAACCATGAAGCATATCTTTTAAGTTATTGTTTACATCCATCATGAATACAGTTTTAAAGATCAAACATTTCATTTAGCAAGTCTTATAGCCAATAACTATTGGTAAGCTCTTGGATATGATGAAGCCAAGTGCATTGATTTATTAATTGAATTTTGCAAGTTTATTCATAATGAAGATTTTTACAAAGTAGAGTTTAATTCTCAAAGTGAATCTCTACTTACATAGTAGTTAACGCATAATATAAACTACCAATCATATTTAGAAGATTTGGCAATTAAAATGCTTTTATTATGCCATTACAAGCAGCATATAAACAAAATTTCTCCATTTTAAAATAGTTTTATAAAGATTGAAGAAATCAACTTACAATTAAATGTATTGAATCAATGGCCAAATTATGGATGTATTGGTTTTCAGAAATTTGAAAAGAACTTGAATATTATAAAAAAGATTTAACAGAAGAGGAATTATGGGCATGTGCTAATATGACAACAATTCCAATTGATTTGTCTTCAAAAGCTGATATAATTAGCACTAATGATATATTTGACAATCATGAGTCTTATATTATAAATCAAAATATGCCTACTTCTGTTTTAACTTCAACAAGTTCTGATATATTTATAGTTTCTAGAACAAAACTAAATGCCAAAGAAATAGCAGATCTTACTTTACTTTTTTTAATTTTAATAATACAGAACCATTTTGTAAAAATTTTAAATTACAATCTAAAATGGCATTAAGCAAAGGCCGTGAAAACATGAACTATGAAGTATCAAATAATGTTGACATAGTCTTAGAAATAGAGAGCAATAATAATTAACTTTAGAAAAACTATATAATAAATAATAAATACACATATTAATTAAATATAAAAAAGCAATGCTCAAATAAATATAGTTTCTGAAACAAAACTAAATATCAAAGACATAGCAAACTTTACTTTGCTATTTTTAATTATATTGAAGCATCAAACATTGTTTAGAAATGAGAATGATAATAATATCTTTAAAAAAAATCTATACAATAAGTGTTAAAAAAATGCTTATATTAATTAATTGCAAAAAGAATGCTCAAATAATTTTTTTTTATAATTAATCTTATCGCTTTACTGGTTTTCCCAGTTTTCACAAGTTTTACCAGTTTATATTTTGATAATTTTTACATTTTATCCTAAGCGTTAAAAATACAAATGGTATTAACCTATCACGTGGCTTATTAATACTTTTATCATGAGTATTCTCGGCATCTATAATAGTGAGCTATAATCAAAATTTTCATAGTGATTAAAAAATAGAATTACTGCGCCTTTAATTCCTTGCGTAATATTTCAATTCTACAAAAACAAAATATTTAATGAAAGGTATCGTTATATTGTATCATGTCGGAATTTTATCTTACTAATTAATATGTTATGCTTACCGGGGTGTGGTGTCTCTTATAATACAATTTACGCAAACGTAATACAGGCCACATAGTAAATCGTTGGCTGGAATTTTTTATAAAAATTTAACGCTTGAGAAGTAAACATAACTTATATGAAGTAAAATTATATTTGCTAATTACTCTTAACAGTAACACCACTATTTTTTTATTTTACTTTACAGTATATAATACGTACGTATAATTGATAAGGTGAAAATCAATTATTAAATATAATAAAGAAATGACAGTTATTAGTTTAAAGAGTATTAAGAGGGCTCTTGTAAATTATACTTTATTTGCGCATGTTTATTCATTCAAAAGCTTTTTTGCAAAAAACCTGGCCAACTGCATTATGTTTGTAAACTGTATGATGGAAGACATCCCGGTAAGCTACAACATATTTTATAGTAAGATAAGATTTTGACGTTGTTACGATATAAAGACACACCTTTCATTAAATATTTTGTTTTTGTAGAATTAAAAAATGTTAAATATTATGTGAGGGATTGACAGCGTAGTAAATTCGAAATTTTTATAATTATTTAAGATTCTGTTATATGGCGCACTGTGCATTGAGTAGGATAACTTTTGTGTGTAACTAAGAAAAAAATGCTCCTCTCACAATTTTACCCTAAGCCTAATCCTAACTCTTATCTTTTTGCACTTATTTGCTATTAAAATCATCACTATACGTATCATTAGCACTATGTTTGTAATTAGACCAGCGATGACACCCAAGTGCACTAAGGCAACCACCAGAAGTATGGCCACATGATAAGACGTTACATCATTGAAACTTAGTGAATCGTCTATGTTTTTTGACGATATTGAGCGATACATTGATCAGAATCGAGTAATTTTGGTATCGTTCGATTCGTCTTACTGAGACGAATCAAATAATATAATTTTTTTTTGGTTCTAATCGTTAAATCACAAGATATAAGTAAAAGTCGGCTTTACTTATGATAGTATTAAGTTTCTTTTAATTTTTATAATATGTTTCCTCATTTGGATAATGTCCGGAGGAAGGATGCAATAATACAATACGAAACACATGGCATCATAATACCCCAAATGCAACAAACATAGCATTTTCTGAGTAGATTTTGAAGGCTCATATTTCAATATTTTTTTTTAAAGTCGATTTTTTTTTTTTTATTGGCAGTTAATTCGCTGAGTAATCTATTTCAATAAATTTTGTAAATAAATACGCTACTCCTAAAAATTTTTATATAAGAAATTCTTAAGTGCGTCATAATTCCTACCTTCCCTTATATGAGTTGGGCCAAAACAAGGCCATGCATTTAGAGAGACTATGCATTTAGAGAGTAAGCATTTAGGGAGGTCAGACTGTATGTAACAAAGCAAATATACTACTGGTCATTGATATATGGATGTTAGAATGTCCGCGATTTCAGGGATTTTTCATTGTTTGAACAATGAAAAATCCCTGAAATTGCATAAGTCTGGACACTCTAATTGATGTCTTATCATGTGCCCATACCTTTGGTGGTCGTCCTGGCGCACTCATAGACACCCCAATACTCTATGTAACGCATGTACTCCATTCCTGATAAAAGAACAAAAAGATGTTTATTACTTTTAACTTATCAATTGTTACAAAGTGGAATCTCATTTAAGCAAGTGGATATTCGATACGTGAATAGGTTCAAATTTTACTATGGCATTTATACTCGAATCCTAAAAATATGACATAATCATTTTAAAAGCGATTGGCGTTTAAATCAATCAAATAACAGAAATAGCTAGAATTATCGATTGAAACATTATTTTTATCATGTATATTCCATAAATAATTTTAAACCCGCATTCTGTTACATAAAAAGTCATCTCTGTATTTAGATTAGGGTGTCCAGGATTCTGCAATTTTATCCGTTATTTTCCGCACATAATTGTACAGATCTTTACTGTTATAGTTTGGAAGCTCTATAGACAATCGTCAAGAATTATTTCGGGCCAACAATAAGCTACGTCTCAAATCTGCAAATCCAAAATCATCAGACCAATAAAAATAGACTGTTTAACTGCGGATTCTGCAAACTCCGCAAATTCCGCAAATTTGGCAATTGCAGAATTCTGGACAGCCTAATTTAGATATACGAATTTCCTTTAGCGACTCGTGAGGAACCCAGTGATCATCACATCATGTGAAATCGTTATTTGTTTACTAGCACTAAACAAATTGGCCTAAACAATACTATCACCTCACCCTAACACTGACCCTAACTTAGGCCGAGCGTTTAATCACATGATGTGATGATCATGAAGATATCATTGGATTCCTTGTTTTTCAAACCTCTCATTTTTGATTCCAGAAGCAGTTAAGGCCCTTTCTACATGAGTGCCGTCAATAGAAAACCCGTCATCGGGCTTTCAATGTTTAGTTGGTTTTCTGCATGCTATATATGTGCAATCTATTCGATGATAGATTGCTATAGACGGTATACAGAAAGCCAACTGAACATTGAAAGCCCGATGACGGGTTTTCTATTGATAGCATTCATATTAAATGGCTAATATAATGTTTCTATTGCGTTTCGAATCTTCGCATGATTTCTAAAATTAATTTTCAACCAAAAAAAGCCTAAAGACTGGAAACCAGTTTAAGTCCAGAGCCTATTGATGTAAGCATTCTTGATTTATTATTACATTACACTAAGTACCAATTTAGACATACGGCGTTAACGAATGGTGAATGCTGAAACTGCGTTGAGATTTTATCAAAAGTCCATAAAAATACGAAATCCCCTTCGCTCCCGGCAATAAGCGCTTCCCTTTATTCACTAATAATGATTTTCCAACACAATAATTCGGCTAAAAGCCTTCTGTTTTCTTACTGTTTTATTATTTTATTATGTAATTTTACTGTTTCTGGGTATAATATTATTTATTCGAGTAGCAAAGGTGATCTACGTTATAAGAAATTTGATGTAAATTCAAGTTATGATGGTGGACTTGTACTTAAGATCTTCGATGATGATAACAACAATCGGTATAAAACCATTTATACACTCTTTCCAAACGGAACTGCAACGTACATAAACCTTGATTTTGCAAACAAAAATATCAATATCAGTCGTATATTCCCTTTAACTATGAAGTATTATTTTCTGCTTTATGATGATATTGTTGATGGTAACAAGCAGGTCACTGGAATGTTAATAGATTGGAATAGTCAAATTATACAAGAGTTCGTTATTTCCTTAAATTTTTCATATCATAATTTGTCTATAAATATTAATTTATTATTTACATTTTAACAGTAATCTTTTTATAACAAATGGGAACTTTACGAATAATCTAAGTTTAAATCTTATTTTAGACACGCGGTTGTCTTCTTTTTTAATCTATAATCAATTTGAAAATAGCATTAATTGGATTTTATATGATTTACAGTAAGTTATTACGTACAGTAATACTATATACTATTCAGTTTGAAATATAGTAGTTCAACAAACTAATAAAATACTCTAATTTGTATGTTATTTTATTTTAAAATAAAATTTTTAGACAACATACTACTGTCAGAAACTCTTTTGACCTTTCAACTAATTCGACTCTTTTGACTGTATTTTCATTGGTTGATGGAAGTTTTGGTTTTATTACAACAGAAGTATCATATGATAATTATACAACGTTAAATAATACATCTGTACGAACATTATATCTATATTATAGTTTTTTATCTTTCTCAACTCACAATATTTCTGAAAAATTTTTACTTTATTATGCGAAAAATGTGAACTTTATATATATTTCTTGTTCACCAAGTCACAGTGAAAATGGAAATGTATGCATGATGACATTAATTGAATCTTCTATGCAATCAACTGTTACAACATATCAAATTGATTTCTTGTCATCTGGCTCTGTCATTAAATTAAATATACGATATATGAACTTTTTCAATGAAGCATATTATATTTTGCCTCTATTTTATGGTGGATCTGTTATAACTAACTGGAACGCCACACAGCCCATAGTAAATGATAACCAATATGTTTCTAATTTGACTGGACATATTATTCCACTTAATGGCAATGAATACAAATGGGAGTTAAATCCCATCTCAAGATTTTCAAGAGCTATGTTTGGCATAATGAAAAATAATACATATATATTGTATGTAGTATATAATTCTAGTATCCAGAACACTAGTTGGGACATTTTCAGCATAAATATAGCAAAATTCAGAAATGATTGTAAGTAGGTTGTAATTAATTATTTGAATAAGTTTAAATATACATTTTACTTATTAATTTTACATGCAAATACTCTAGTCGGCTATGAAAATCCCAATGTTATTTCAACATATCCAAAAATTAATGATATTATTTCACCAAATATAAGTTATATAAGTATAACATTTTCAAGTCAGATTTCTAAATCATTGAATAATCTCTATATCTATCAAATTAATACAACTACAAAGCAAAACAAAATGAGACAATTTTATCCTGCAAATTCAGAAAATTGTACAATTTTAAATAATACAATTCTATGCAATATTTCACAAAGTATCATTAATCGATGGGGTTCTTCTTATGTAATTGTGGTCGACAATAATTTTGTAAAATTTGCATCGACGGGTGAACCTATTTATGGTATTGCAGAAAATGTATGGACATTTAATACAATTTCACGTAAGTTTATTTAATTGATTAATATATGATTAAATGAATTTATAATTAATGGAATTAATGAGTACTATAACTTTTTCGTATAGAAACAAATCCAGAGTCATCATCTCTTGGTAATATTAAAATCTTCTATTTATAATATTATTATTTTATATATTGTATACACAATGCTTATATTTTATTATTTATAAAGGTGCAGCTACAGCTATTGTACGCTTAACTCATAATGGAACTAAAGCGTATGATTCTCTTTCTAAATTTGAAAAACTCATATTTTTAGATAGTTTACTTAATGAACTTATTGAAAGTATTCCTACTACTCCTGGAAGATTACGTGCAACAAATCGAATTCAATATGATCCGTCAACATCACCTTCACAATATCTATTGCAAATTGTAATTTTGGCACCAACCGATCATTATCAAGTATCAGTATCTCGAATAATCAGTGATACAAGATCATTAATAAAAAATATGGACACTTCAATAATGTCAACTAACAGTTATACAAAGTATTTGGATTCCTCGTATGGACTCAAAGTTAATAGTAAGTTTTTTAAAATTATACCGCAATATGTATACAACACTTAATAATTTAATTTTTTATATTTTTAAAGTAAATATTTGGGAAGAAATGAAATATAAATTGCTTGGAATATTAATTGGATGTATCGTTTTAATTATTATTATTATATTGGCTCATTGTAAATATCCGAAGGTAAAATACTTATCAACTCTTCTCGCTTTAGACTAAATTAAGTTTTTGAATTATTTATACAACTTTTCTATAGGGACAAAGTTTTATGATATTTACTATGCCATTTATTTTATTTGATTTAATTATGGGTATTTTATTTGTTGTTGAGAACGGAAATGATGTTCCTTGGCTATATATACCCAGGTATGATTGTATAAAATTATTATAACTTAAGGGAATTATATTTGTATTCCAACTTTGATATTTATACCTTTTAAGTTAAAAATTTTTAAACAAAGGTTTCTTGAATTAACAGGCCAAATCCGATAAACTTCTTTCTTAATTTATATTCTATGAATTTGTAGAATTCAAATAAAATAAAAAAATTTGATTGAACTTGACCTGGTTTTTACTGAAATCCTTTCGTTCAAAGTTTTAAAAAACTCAAGTTATCTGTCAAATTGGAAGCTGCACTGATTTTTCTTCAACTTTGAGTGAATATATTTCGATAATTACTAGCCAAATTTAATAATTTTTTTTTTTGAATTCTATAGAATTCAAATAAAAACTTGTCTATGGTGATTACCGAGTTACATTTAAAAAATTTGACATTTATCAAAATAGAAGCTGCGCTAAAATTTTTCTAAACTTTGAAGAAGATGTCTTATCAGCAATCGAGTTAAATTTTTTATTTGAATTCTACAGATTGTGGAATTCAATTAAAAAATATACATCTAATTTGGATTGGCGGTCGTTAAGATATATTAACTCAAGATTTGAAAAACTTTTCAGCGCAATTTCTACTTTGATAGACATTTTGAGATTTTTTAAAACTTTGAAGGTACCTCAAATAACCAACAGGCCAAATTGATGATTTCAAATTCTACAGATTCGTAAAATTCGAATAATAAATTCATCTAATTTGTCTTGTGGTAATTGAGTAACTTTTCTCAAAGTTTAAAAAAATTTAAATTTACAGTGGTACAAATATTTATTCCCTAAATTAGTTACATAAAAAAAACGAATACTAATTCTGAATATTTAATAAATTTAGTATTATTATATTAGCTTTTGCATTACTGTTTAATTTGATTACTGCAATTATACTTATAAGCTATGAATTGAAATCCAATAATTTATTTGCTAAATGGTTTAATAAGCATACAAATATTGTTTCAATATTTGTTATATTTTCAGGATCGAATGTGATGTTATTGGACTGCTTAACTTCAAATTTTGGTGGATTTGAATTATTAAATGCACCATTTTTGAACAATACTAAAAATTGGATCTTTCGGGGATCTGTTGTTGAAACTATTATAGAAAGTATTCCTCAACTTATTATACAGGTCTGTAATATATACTGTTAAAAAGAATAATTTAATAATTTTATTAATTAAAAATTTTATATTATAGATTTTATATTTTCAAAACTCGGTTAAATATGAAGCTATTCCATTTTTAACATTAGTAACTGGATCTATCGTTTTGCTAAATGATATTATTTTGAAGTTATTTAAATTTATTAATAATAGATTTAGTTGAAAATACTAAATAATTGACAAATTTTACTAAAATAAACAAATAATAAAAGTACAAACTTGGTTAAAAAAAGTTCTCTAATAATTATAAGCTATTATTTTCAAGCAGTTGTTACGATCATATGCATTTAATTATGTTAATTAAATAAATAAATGTGGTTTTAGAGTGATATAAACTCAGATTAATTTTTTATAAATTCACACAATAAACCGGGAGCCTATTGTTAGGGATGGTAAAAAAACGTTTTAAAACATTTTTTTATATGTTTTTAATGGGTTTAAAAAAGGTTTAAAACATCGAAGCTGATGTTAAAATTTAACTGAAGTTAAAATTATTGCATTTTTGGCCGGTAAATTTTGGGTCCAGCATTAATCTTTAGATAGATTAAAAAATTTTAAACCATTTTTAAACAATTAATATTAAATATAAAACAATCATCAGTTCTAAAATCACGTTTTAAAACATTTGCCATCCCTTCCTATTGTAAGCAATCCCGTGACATCACGAGATCCGGGAAAAATGCATAAAAAAATAAAATAAAAAAATAAAATAGAATAAAATAAAAAACCCACCGTACCACCCATATGAGAAATAAAGCTACGCCCTAAGATGACACGGATCGGGCTAAGCCTCTCAAAAGCCCTAAACGAACAATCGCCACGCGAAACATCAGGAGGAGATCGTGACCAAATTGTGGCTGCAAGAATTCCAAGACCACGGTAAAAAGAAAATGAAAAAGGGCAAAGGGAATAAGCTCATGGGAAGCCCCTCTTCCCGTAGATGAAGAACCAGGCAAATTCAAAAAAGACGATAGTTTTAGTAAAAGGTGTGGCAGTGTGAGAATGCCACAGGCCTTGTCGTGGGGAAAAGAAAGATGGAAAAGATGAATGGAAATTTGTAGTTATGACGTGAGGGTGAGACTATGTATTCTTTAGCTTCCTTTCATTTTTCTCATTTTGTATAAATAGGTAGTGATTTGCTACAGTTGTAAAGTAGTGAAGTTCATAATAAGTTTGGATATGATTCAAATAAAAGTTCGATGCTTCCACTTTGCTTTAAAAGGTCATTCATTTTGTGCCTTATATCTGTAACTGTAACAAACCAATATGCCTTACCTTGCCAAATCTTCCCGCCTCTAATTGTTGGTTTTGTTGTAAGGTTATTCTGTTTTTGTGTATATAGTGTTGAGTAACGACTATCCTGATTCATTTCATCTTTCTAGCATTGAGATTCCCATCTATAGGTGTAATGCAATATGGAGTGCCTCATATTAAAAAGGCCCATTATGAAATTTTTCGAAAAATGAGTTTTTAATAGATCCAATTAAATTTTGACTTGATTGACATTTTTCAATTATAAATGAAAGTCGATTTGCATAATAAAAAATGAAGATAATGTAAAAGAAAATTACACAAGGCTGTCCAAGGCCAAGCACATTACGAGATTACCTGATAGTAATCTGCTACCTTTAACCAATCAAAATCGTGAAATTTGCTCAATCCCGGATCAGTCCAAAAATCAAAACAAATGATTAAACTCAATTATCTCAAAATGAGGTATATGCCTAAATGGGCCTTTTTAATATGAGGTACTTCATATTATTGCTTTCTTTAAAAAATCATTTATATAACTCAAGATTTTGTTTATGAAACCTACTACCTTTTGAATATTTTTTTTTTAACTTTCAGCAGTCTTACCTCTACTTTATTAGGTTTAATAATATTATATCATGATATATTAAATTTCTCAGAGGGCTATTCTCTCTGACATCTAAATTTCAAGTATCAGCTCACTCAGTTGTTCAAAGAATACCTATGTGCAACTTGCTATAGTAAGATTTATCTCCATACTAATTCACCCTACAAATGAGCTGATCAGTATTTCCTCAGATAGTTCTTATGGCCTGTCAAGACTACTAATTACTTTTTCACCATTCTGCCTTTTGACCACCATTTATCCACCTTAATACTTCGTTTATCACTATATAAAAAACATATTCCTACCTTGCTTTAGCTTTTTTCTTTTTATCTCTTTCTTTTTGAGACTTGTCTAGTGTGTTTTTCTCTTCACTGGATTTCTTTTGTTTTTCTTTCTTTTCTTTTTGGCATCTGCATTGGATCCTCTCTTTTCTTTCCACATTATATCATTCTCTTTTTCCCAATCTTGTACTAGTCTATATCTTGGAACCCATATCAATTCATGAATCTTCTTTATTCATCTTTTCCAAAACCTTATTATGAATTATCTTGCTTTTTGTTAGAGTCAAAGCTTTGCTGTATTTCCTTGAAGTCTTCTTTCATGATTAGACCTCTTATCTATTCTATCTTTCTTTTCTCCGACTCTCTTCTGCTAAGATTCCTTTTTCGATCATAACCAGAATCTCTTCTTTTTTCTCATGCAAGTCCTGTGTTTTCTCTATTTCTATAAGAGTTGACTCTACTTCTTGTTCTTCTAACCTTATATTAAATTTAGTAAAACTTCACAACTTACTAAGTGCTTTATGTTCTCTATCTTTTTTTTACATACAATGCATTTATTGGTTTTGTACATCTCTGGTTTTCTACTATTGAGCTTCTTAAATATTGGTAAAATATTGTTTATACACTTTAACTCAAAAAGTTGTATTATATTTGACTTGTATGTATAATCACATTGCTTAGTTCCACTTTCTAGAATCTTATAAAAATTGGCCAATGCTGTAGAGTTGTTCTTTCTCAATGTGTTATGTTTTGTTTATTGTACAAAAGTCTATTCTGCTCTATTTATAACTTTTCAAGCATTTTAACAAATAACTATATTGGTTTCTCTACAACTTTATTCTCCAACTTATATCTTAGTTTGAACTCTTTTGCACTTAGTACTATAGGAGTTAAAATCTCTGTAGAAACTGCACTTTCTTTGGCTTTAAGATCTGCCAAATCATTGAAGATATCCCCTGAATAACTCTTAATTTTGTAAGATGTAGAGCTATTAGTTTCATTTTAACTACTTCTACTATTGTTGCAATCAGATCTCCATTTTTTATTTTTAACCAAAGTCTAGCTTTATCTGCTTCAAGTTCTTTCTTGATTGAAAAAATAGCTGTGCTACTATCTGTCTTTATCTCAACTTTTTTTTCTTTAGGTGTTACTAAGAGCGCCACCAGAATTGCTACTAACTCTACTCTTGTTAAAGAAAACTACTTTTCGGTACCACATGCTAATTGACATAGCACATGTCCTTCTTCTTTGATTTGCACTATACCACATCTTATCTCCGTTTTTGTTGTACTCTCTGATGTCCCAAGTAAGCTATCTGTATAAAAAAATAAACTAATTAAATCTCTATTTTGATTTAAGGTCTCTATTAAAATACTTCTAAGTGTTCTACTCTCAACTATTTTATTTATTAATTGGTGATCCACCAGTCAACCAGAGAATAATTATAGTAAAAAGTGATTCAAATTACTTATAAAAATTGGAGGTCTCCAAATATGGCATGCACATATCTAAAAGCTTTTTTATACTAAGTTAATCACCTTTTTAACTTAAGAGACTTTTGTAGAGCTTGTCAAGGCACATTTAATAGTGGTTAGAGCATCAAAATTGGCTTGGTGAGTGCTAAGATATCTTTAAAAAACGTTTCTTTTACTATGTAAACTTCTTTGCAAACAATAGTATTATTTGCAAAGAAG